TGACCTATATTGATTTCCTTGATCATGGAGAGTTTATCGAGCATTTAAGTGCTCTAATGATGTCAGAATTGAACGATCTTGGGTTCGTTGGACTCGTCTCGTCGAGCCACTGGATTCGACTATAAGCATGCCATATTCAACGATTAGTTGGTTATCCAACTAATGCTTTGAACCCTCCAAATATGCTGTGGACCCTTGATTTAGGCTCATTTGGACTCAGATTTAATCAAATTTGATGTCGTTGGTTCATCTCCTTGAGATGTACAATTTGACTATAAACTTGCTGGAAATAGAAATCAAAGTCCTGATTTTAATTATGGAAGTTTCTAATTAAAATTTGCATCGAGATTCATGCCCGAACAAGACAGAATTTTTGGTGACATATCACTTTTAATTCACACAGGTAGAGATTAACTATCACCATACGCATGCAACTTACATCAGTACTGACGAATATAATGAATGCAGGTTTAGAGAAGGAACATAGTGTTTGGCTAATCAGGTGCTCACCATACCTTTTAATACACTTAACGCCATTACCGAAGAAGAAAGTGGCATCATACATACGTATTCATAAAGTATTCGAAATGTTGAATGCATTAAATATGTCAGGATTACTTAATCACTTACTAATTATAAAAAGGCAGCACGATAGCCGCATTTATGACTACTACTAGCAGTTGGAAATAAAAGGCATCATGAAATGTCAGATGCATAAAATGCAGGTAGGCAAGGCATTAAATATGCAAGCCTTAATTTTATGAGAGATTATTTTGTCAGGCATAGCTTATCGTCAAGAGACGAATCAGGTGCAGCCACATTATTCAGTACCGAGCAGTACCGAGCTCGGTATCGAGCCGCAGTACCGAGCTCGGTATCGAGCCGCAGTACCGAGCAGGAGGTGACATGGCATATTATTATTGGGCTCTGAATGAAATTCGGTGTCCGCGCATAATAACTCATCTAATTTTAGGCGCGTCACAGCTCATTTGTGGCCTTATAAATGTTAAATTTAATTTATACAAGAGATATAACTATGGCATATTATTTGGGTTGGTCGCATACCAATTTTTGCCGATTTAATTTATAAAATGGGGTTGAACCCATATTGAGTTAAATTCGGATACAATTTTGAACTGCAATGTTGGACGCTTACACCACTCCTAGATATTAGCATATTGGTAGCTTCAATAGTTGTTGACCATGAGATAAATATATATTTAAAGGGGCAAGCCCAGATTTCATTCAATAAAAACAGATTACAACGAAGGCCCAAAAAGCAAAAACCAAAATACAATGCTAGAGAAAAGAACCTCCAAAAGGAGCTAAAATAAGGCATTATGAGGTCGCATAGTGAACTGTCAGACTCAGGTGGCTCATCCTGCAACCAGCCGGCCGGCCGACAAGGACCATCCATTGGAGGCATCAAGTCACAAGACAATCAGAGACAAATCACAAATGAAACAAGCACCATCCCGTAAGGTGAACCACCAAGGTTGCCAGCAAGCCAATGCCAACCAAGAAGCGTGCAGAATGCATCCTCATCATTGTCCAGATCACAAAAATAAGGCTCCAAACCGAGAAGCACAGCCGCCACAAAAAACAACACCCACAATATAGGCACTAAGCCAACCGAACTCGCAACCAAGAGAGCAAAAACGATCAAGCACCACAACTGTAGAGATCCACAGATCCAAGGGAAAACGTCATAATAGAATGGTAACAACCAACGAAGGAAAAACCATATAAACAGAACTACTGTCTAGATTTACACCTTCGACGCTTACCGCATCCAATGGAAGAATCTTTATCAACAACACAACTCACATTCAAATTGTATAACTCCTAAAGAATGCATATGCCACTTGTTAGGGAATCGCGGATAACTTAATCACTTGTTGGTGAAGAGCAAGTCACCAACCAAGCATCTAGAGGGCCTATCAAAAATATTTGCTATCTCCTAGAAATTCAAATGATGTTGGATCCTTCAAAGTGTCTTCTATCATCAAGTCTGACTAGTTCCTTGGTGTAATGATCACTGGCTGAAATCTCCACAAATCCTGACAAAATTCAAGCAATGTTGAATATCCTCTTGTTGCAGTTAATCAAGGAAGTCGAGAAGCTAACTAATAAGCCTGTTTGGCTAAGCAAAATTATTTTTCAACTGTGCAAGTCTAAGGCCTTCATTTTCTAAGAATTAAGACATCTATCCAACTATTGAGATGTATTTCCAAACCCATCTGCTTCTAGTCATAATCAATCAACTTATTCAAAAAGTTTTATAAAAACAAAAGCTCTTCAAGTAGCTAATAAAATAATCTATAGATTTGACTGATAAGATATTGAGTATATTCCTTGATCGACCATAAAGTCAAGAGTCTTGATGAATTTTATTTCTGAGTCACTCGTGAAAGATGAAGAGTTCCAAGATTGCCCAGTGTTGCTTGACGAAGCCTGGATAATCAGCACTAGTGGTGCCTCTGATGAGAATTACAAGGGAGTTTGCATTTACTTACATGCCCACAAGGTGTTATTATCACTTGCATCATTCGGTTAGCATTTTAAACCATTAATAATTAAGTAAAGTGATTTCAACCAAACTAAGGCTTCATTTAGGACAGTTTTTTTGTTGCTTTCTAAAACGACTTTCTAGTGCAAAAATTTCTGGAATTAGAAATCTTTGGTGTCAGGCACCAGTTGAATCAAACAAATTTTGGGGGAGATATATTCCGACAAGTGAGGAAGCAATTCAATTGGCTAGATTCTCGCTAAGAAGATGCAACAGCAAGGGTTCTTTTGGTTAACCATTATAAAAAGTGCCTTCGAGTTTGCAAGGTGGTGCAAGTTAAGCCAAGCCCACACCTACATTCCATATTGCTTTAACAAGGAGCAGACATCAAATACCAATCTCCAATCATTTTCCAGATGGGAGATGCACTTTTTGGCACACTCCATGCCAAAATAGTCCAAAGCAAATCTTGTTGGGACTGCTCAACTACTGCATGAAATAGGTATAAGTGAGTGATTTAACCAAGGCGAGCAATAAAATAATAATCAAAGTCCTCAAGTAGGAGATAATCATGAAGTTTGACCCACCTCTTGCATCTAATATGTTATCATCAACAAAATGCTGATCCAACTTTATAGGAGTTACAGATTTGATATACAGTAATCTTCTATTAATCATCCACAAAACAATGTGCAAGGGCAAATTGAGGCTAAGAGTAAGAACTACATAAACTTATGGAAGAGAATGTTATCAATCTAGAAAGGTGTAGTTGTCATGTGGGATTGTCGAGCACTCAATTTTCCATCATTAGGGAGACATCTTTTGCTTTGACTTTTGAGAGGCGACCATGCGTGACAAACTCCATGAATGCAGTCGGGGTATGACGAGCTGATACATACTAATATCCTCGATAGTTCTCCATATGAGCTATCGAACTTGATGAGGCCCAATCTCACACCATAACCCGCCAAATGTTAATATATCATTTATAGTGAAGCATACATTGGCATAAAGGATCCATTAATAAGGGATGTCAATGCTAACAACATAAGTCTCCCATAGAAAGAACAAATGCTCCTACATTCTTTGGTTGTGTGAGTCAACTCTTGGCCCTGCTAGTAATTCTTATGACATACTAGTGATAATAAGACGGATCAAACCCATTCGGATCAAATGGAGCCTAACTCCACAAATTGTACAGATCGAACGTGTTTATGTATATATATGATTATCATATTAACTAGACAAATGCTTTGCATTTTTTTGGCTACGAAAGTTTTAGCATGAGAACATATACTATTTTAATAAGTCTAATAAAATCACATAATGAACTTTAAAATCAAATATGAGGTATGTATGTAATGACCATATCAACGCAAAACACAATGATCACATAAAAAGTGACAACTTGATCATAATAGAAAGAGATAAGATCTTTAAAAACATGGCAAATTTCATTTTTATTATGAATGATTTACATATGTTGATCCAATTGGATTACAAAAATTTCACCTTGATTAGAAAAATAAAGGAATAAATAAGAGCTTTATTCTGAGGGCAGGCCGGACTCCTCGGCCTTATTCAAGCAACCATCATAGTTGAGATAGTCGAGGATACCTAGGCTAACTAAGCCTCAAAGCCATAATATATTCTAGAAAATGTTGAAACAAATTGTGCCATCCATAAGGATATCATCCTCGGCCTTATTCACAACCATGACATGCAACAAGCACTTCATCCAAGTTGACTGTACGCAGCCACTGAAGCTAGCAAAAAGATTACTTGATTTAAAAGTTTTTTGAGAGAAATATACAAAAAAGACAAAAAGAAAGTTGCACTGTTCTGTGACAGTCAAAATATCCTTCCACTCTAGGACAAAACAATTGATTAAGGATTCGTTTGGAACGGCTTTCTTACTGCTTCTTAAAGCAGTTTTTCAGTACTGAAAAGTAAAAAAGCAGCTCTAAGAAGTAGGAAGAAAGTAGTCCCAAACGAAGCCTAAAATATCACTAAAAACACCACCTACTACGTGTTTTACAACTAATCAAGGTCAAATGGGTAGAACATATCTAAAAAAAAGAGGAATTTAATGGCTCACAACAGCAAATAGACACAAAGAATAGAAATTGAGAGAAATAGCCACCCTAAAACCAAGCCTTAAAAAAAAAACACAAATTATACTCCAGAATATTGAGCTTTACTCTGGTTGCTCGGGTTTCTTAAACTAGATAGCAGCATTTAAATAATCACTACTAACTATTTTCCTTTCACCCTTTAAAAAATCTTAGTGCATGGATGAAAGGCCTGGATTAACCACTAACATCAGGTTCGTGACCCATTTCATTGTTCTGCAGGTAGATCCGGTTCTATATCACAGTGAAATCATGAGAAAACTTGAGAAAAAGATATCACTTAACCAGATTTCCTGCTAAGCAGATAGGTTTAACAGGGAAAAATTAAAAGAAAAAAAAAATTAAAAGGGGAAAAAAGCAATAAATTCCATTTAAAATCACTATCAGAAAGTATTCAGTTGAAGAATCATACAAATACTTTGGTAGCCATCCACACTTATTATAGCAAATGCTATTAAGGAGAGCTTGATATAAAAATTAGCAAAGATTCAAGTAGGCACTTGGAGAAATACATGAAACCAAGTAAAAATGCCACAAAATATAACTAAAGAAAGCTGGAAGGTCACTGAAATTTGCTTCCAAAGTAACCATTTCCACCTGGCACTGTTATAGGTCGAATGGCAGGAACCAGCGATGAGAATGGAATAGGATTGGGTATGGCAAAAGGCTGTGCAGGAGCAGCAGTTACAAGGGGAGGTGTCATACAGAATTGCAAGGACTGGGCATTAGAACCTGAACATAAAATGACGTTACAATTATCAACAGCTAAAACAGATTTAGATGTTGTAAATATAGTAAAATAATTTCTTATTTGAGAGAAAATATTTACAAGCTTAGAGAAAAGAAGGTAAATGGTTAAAAAATAAAAAAACAAATACCTTGAAGTTTTGGTATATTGGCATGGCAAGGGGTTAACACAGGGCATCCTTGTGATAGAACCGCGGTTCCTTGCATTGGATCCTAAGACAACAGATGGAGTTAATAAACATAAGAATACAAAAGAGGAAAAATAAAAAAAATAAAAAAAGTGAACATGAGAGATGATCCTCGAAAGTGTGCAAGGGAAGCTGAGGTGTTATAATTGGAGTGAATGGAAGAACCAAGTAATGCCAAATCGATTCTATTCAATCAGTTTCTTTGGCAACATATTATAAGGTTCTGTTTTGATTTTACATCCATATAGAATCTGTGTTCAGTTTCTAGTTCGGCTTTGTTGGGTTCAGTTTGAATATTTTCAATAAGAAAATAAGCATTTATGCATCCACCTATACACAGTTTCCTTTCTTGACCTGCCAATTTCCCACAGAGTGCTGAAGTGATCCTCTCCTTCAACACTGAGCCTATATATATATATATATATAGACTAAACCAACCAAATGAAAACCCCAAACAGGAAGTTATAAAAAATAATATTTTTATTACATCAGCAAGCTGGCTGTGTTCATATTAAACAAAAAAGAATAATTCGGTATGTTTTTCTACATTTGCTATTAAAAAACCTATTTTTTCCACCTACAATTTCTATTATATTTTTTTCAAAAGCAGTTTAATAAGGCAAAATTATAGAAAAAAAAATAGTGAAAAAGTATCATCCAAATAGACATTGCTTTTTCTTGGCTAATTTCCCAAAAAAAAAAAAAAGTCTAAAGACTGTCCCAAACAAAACCTAAGAGGTACTGACTGCTTGAGACTAACCCAAATTTTCTGCCCCTTACATTGTGTTAAGTTGAAGAATCATGCAAATAAGATATCAAATAGCTTACAAATATTTTGGAAAATTTCTAAGAAAATTATTTTTGGATCAAGATTAATTAATAAATGTCAAGACATGAAAAAGATTGAATGGTTAGAAACTTTGTCTAAAGTCAGCAGTATTTGAAAATATGGTTGGCACTCGTTTCTTTTAATGAGAATGCAGATTGAAAAAGACAGCAAAGAAGAGAGAAAACTATCCGCATAACCTTTACCCAGATGCCCACTTCTCCTACCTTACAGGTTTATACCCATTGGCCTTATCCATCATCACCCTTTATCTCGTCTACCACGGCTAAACATCTGAATATCATTGACCCCTCAAATCTATATTTTTCTTTTGATCTCTACAAAGGCAAATGACAAAATACTAAACATCCACTAGAACCTTTTATATCCCTTGATCATCACAATCTTTTCTTTCATTGGATTCCCTTGACTTTGTCTACTTCCTCTATTGCTAGGGCATACAAGAAGGCCCTCCATAAAGCTAATTGAAAGCATGTTTTTGGCAAACAAATGAGCGTTCTCATGCGTGAGATTTGGTTACATCTCCTCTAAGGGTTAACCTATTTATGTATGTTAGATTAAGAGAATTCGAGAGGGAAAAGACTTTAATTTCATTATACAAAAATATTCCTATTTATAGATATATACAAGATATCTTAATAAAGAAACAAATAAATACAGAATCATGCATAATTTTCCTAAAAAAAATCCTTCCTAAATTAGCCAACCGAATATGCAAGGAGATCAGCATGATCCAAGTGAGCCTCCCATATTCGTGCTGGCAGTGGGATCAAGGGCCAAAAGACGGCCGAGATTTAACAGCGTGATCCAAGTAACCCTCCCACAGGTCCCCATGTTGGCCGTGGTATCAAGGGCCAAGGGACGGCTGAGATTTAACACTTCCCCTAAAGCTGGAGATTGCAGATCTATCATTCACAGCTTGGTAATCAGTCCCAGAAAGTTATTATAAAGTCCCTTGATAAGAATGACTGCAGCATCGGTTTAATCCTTTTCCTGCACCCCATGCATCTTGGTTTCACCTTCAATAAACTCATATTGCTCTTTCTTTAGGAGCAACATCTTTACATCACCATCATACAAAATTTTATGTATTCCTGTACTTTAATCAAAGGAATCAACAATGCCATCATCAAACCTCTGATCATCTAGCCACCAAATTTTTATCTTTGAACCAACAATTGTATCATCGAAGCCTTCCGTACACTTCAGTGGTCCAAAATCCTCTTGTATGCCCTGAGCACACATCCATCTTGATTTTGTTTTACCAGTATCTTTAACATGGTAATGATCTTTAACCAAATCTTTCATTGTAGACTTTTGGGAAGAGAGAACTTCCTTTAAATTCAATTATTTTTCTCCAGCCTCAGTATGCTTAACACCTTTCGGCTTCTAAGTGCCAACAGTTTGCTTGTTTTCTAAGAATGTCACTCTAACTTTTCTTTGAGATCCATTTCTACCTCTATTACTTTGAAGCTTTTTGTCAGAATTACTCCTAGCTTTTTTCTTATTACCAACTTCATAATGATCATTGTTAATTGACAACTACAGTGAAGCATTCCTTTCTCCTTTGCGAGAACTTAGATCTAACTTTCTATCAGGCTTTATTACACTTAAATCCAAGCTATGCTCAGTATTAACTCTAAATTTACCACTATGATGGCAAAATTCAGCCTTTTGCTTTGCAGCCATGGAATCACCATTCCCATTCTAAAAAGATCCATTATTTGTCACTGGTTTAGAAGATCTGTCTGCAACAGCAACTGATTTTTCAGGATGAAAATTTGACCTTCCTAATGTGTAGATCCCTGAGGTGAGTCGTCAGAAAGGAACCGCTCAGATAATGTATGGGAAGCTTCCTGATTTTTACTAGAAGCATTCATTACTTTATGTATCAAAGTGTCAGGTTTCCCCTGAAATATAACAACAATAATTTTGCTATAATCACTTAATAGAGCACCATTACCAATAAATAATTTTGTCAAATAAGTGTTGAGAAATTTTGTCATCCTCAACGGATTGCATATTTTGTGATCGAGCACGGCATAAGAAAAATGATATATTATACTGGAGGACAAAAATATCATTTTCTTATGGATTTTATAACTAAATTTATAATTTTAATAGAGATTCCCATATTCAATATTTGGTTGAGCAGAGTTTATTTTATTGTGTGGTACGGATCAATGTTTAAAATTGCATATTTGGGTATCGAGGCGTTTTTCATTCGTGAGGCGAGGCGTAAGCCTCAAGGCGTTTTGAGGCGTAAGCCTCAAAATCAAAAGATCGCGTAAACATAAAATGATAAATTTTTTATATACTAATGAGTGAATAATATAAAACATAAAAAAAAAACATAAGATATGAAGTGAAATCAAAATATCCCAATAATAAGACAACATGAAATATAGTTCAACTCAAAATTCTATCTTTCTCAAATCCCAGTATTCTTTTCATTAACATATAATTCCAATTTCTAAAAATAAATATTAAATAGCAATGACATATCACATAAGAACTCATAAGTCATCAGCACTGTCATCACTAAGGGGTTCTTCATTTGAATCATCATTATGAAGAACTGCTATCTCCCCTTCCTCCTCTCCTATAGAGTTCAATATCGGGCATTTACTTCAAGATTTATATAAGTTTTAATATATATAGCGTGAGGCGTAAGCCTCATGCCAGAGAGGCGAGGCGAGCCTCAACCAAGTTGAGGTGCACAGCCTCATAAAAAAAACTCGATGCGTAAGCTTCGAGGCGTTTTTTACTGGAATTGCGCAAAGACGGGCCTCAAGGCGAGCCTCATATTGCGCAATTTTAAACCATGGTACGGATGCCCATAGAGGCAAGCCCCTATAATTAATTACATCTCAAGCATTTGTCACTTGAGAATACTTTTGATTAAACTCGTAGTTTTCTTTCTTTTGTAAATCATCAAGACATTGGCTAAAGTTTTGATTATTTTAAAATCCATAAAATTCTTGTTTAAAGAGTTTTGATCATTAGGAATTTCAAAGGAAGAGGGATCAACTTTGATCAAAATTCTTGGAATGAGAGCCAAGGGGAGGAAGAGTATGAGTACTTGATTATGAGAGGAAAACTCAGAGGTACTCAAAACTATCCTATATTGGACTTTACATTTTAGAATATACTTTTTGTTTAAGTTGATAATTTTTATTTAAATTGTTGGGGCTTACAATCCAACCACACATGTTGGAGAAAATGCCCGAAAGATGAGAGCTTATAAGATGATTGAAATCAACCACTATCTCGGACCATAGAACTAAAGTGAGGACTACTGATGGATAATACCTCGAACCTAAGTATAACGGATTGCAATATACTTACAAACTACACCTCGCATGAGGCATAACTAACTCAACCTTTATATTTATTGTCCTGTCTAGAAAGCGCTACCATCTAACACACCTAGTCGCTTTTAAAACCATGACATCCGATCTCAATGCATATGAAGAATAAGGAGGCCATTTTTTGTTTAGAAGATAGAGGTTATAATTTGGTTTTTAGACCAAGATGCCTAATCATGTGGGTATGCAGAAATGCTGACTCACAAATACAGATTAGTATATCCAATGATAATGAAGGTCGCTTACTCCTCTCCGCTTCCTTTGATTCGGATATCCTATCGATTCCGACAATGAAGGCAGGTGGTGGGACCCGTATTCCTCAGAATTATGACAATTCGGGCTCGTGGTGGGAATCAACATTCATTAGAATTATAGCAATGAAGGCAGATAGTGGGAACCTGTATTCCTCAAAAATTCTGACAATGAAGACCGATGGTGGGAACCTGTATTCCTTAGAATTTTGGCAATGAAGGCCGGTGTTGAAAACATGTATTTCTCATAATTCATGCAATGAAGATCAATGGTGGGAATCTGGCTCTGATATCAAGTTAAATTCAGAGAATTAGAGAGGAAAAGTGCTTTTTAATTTCATTATATAAAACTATCCCTATTTATAGATCTATACAAGATATCTTAATAAAGAAAAAAATAAATACAAAATCATACATAATTACCCTAACATAATCCTTCCTAAATCAGCCACCCGAATATGGAAGGAGATGAGCGTGATCCAAGTGATCCTCCCACGAATCCCAATATTGGTCGTGGGACAAAGGGTCAAGGGACGGCTGAGATTTAACAGCGTGATCAAGTTAAAGACTCCCATAGGTCCCCATGCTAGCCGTGACATCAAGGGTTAAGGGATGACTGAGATTTAACAATGGACAATGGATTGTTAATGTTAAATTACATCCTAATGGCTCTATTAATTATTGGATCAATTGTTAACTAAGGGATATACTCAAATCCATGAAGTTAAATACTTTGAAAAATTTTTCCCAATTGTTGCTTGTAGGGTTGAAATTTTAGCTTGAAGATTGAATCAATTTTTAGCTCAAATCAAACTTTAATTGCATCAAATGAGTTTGACTCAATACAATTTTTGAGATGGGCTTAAGATTGAATCGCGCCAATTCAGGATCAGCTTGACATATAAATATATGCATATTTTTAATATTTTATACATACATGTGTATACACATATATAAATATTAAAAATATGTAGTTATGGAAACAAAATAAATTATATATAAATTAAAAAGAATTGATTTCGAGTGATCTAACTTTGAGCCAACTCAAAATCGATTAACATCGAGCTAAGTTGGCTCGAAGTTGAACTGGTTTAATAGAATCCCAATATTGGTCGTGGGACAAATGGTCAAGGGACGGCTGAGATTTAATAGCGTGATCAAGTTAAGACTCCCATAGGTCCCCATGCTAGTCGTGACATCAAGGGTTAAGCGATGACTGAGATTTAACAATGGACAATGGATTGTTAATGCTAAATTACATCCTAATGGCTCTATTAATTATTGGATCAATTGTTAACTAAGGGATATACTCAAATCCATGAAGTTAATTTTTTTCCCAATTGTTGCTTGTAGGGTTGAAATTTTAGCTTGAAGATTGAATCAATTTTTAGCTCAAATCAAACTTTAATTGCATCAAATGAGTTTGACTCAATACAATTTTTGAGATGGGCTTAAGATTGAATCGCGCCAATTCAGGATCAGCTTGACATATAAATATATGCATATTTTTAATATTTTATACATGTGTATACACATACATAAATATTAAAAATATGTAGTTATGGAAACAAAATAAATTATATATAAATTAAAAAGAATTGATTTCGAGTGATCTAACTTTGAGCCAACTCAAAATCGATTAACATCGAGCTAATCAATTAACATCGAGCTAAGTTGGCTCGAAGTTGAACTGGTTTAATAAATTTTTGAGTTGTGTGATTATGAATGAGGAGAAAGAGTGCTCCCTGCCTTGATGCACGTAACTATTGATTAACCTGTGTAATTACGAACAAATCTTTTTGCTTCTTAGTTTTGGGATGTATGATTATGCATGGATCACACTGACTAAACATATCATTTATGATATCTATTGAGAGATGCATTTTTTTGTGTGGAATCTTCATGCTTTTTCATTCTTTTTGAAGCAAAGAGAAGCCAGGGGGAGCCTTAATAAACCTCCTGAATTCAATTAAATCCCTTTAGTTCTACAATGTTTCAACACCGACAAAGTTCTTTGTAGTTTGTACAAGTAATTGAGCTGTGTGTTTAAGTGTTGATCCTTTTTTTTAGTTCTAATTAGTACTGAGAATTTGATAACACATCTGTATAGCACTAATTATGCAGATAGTCTAGATAATTTTTAGATTACGCAAAGAATTTTGATAATCCTACTTTGTAACCCTTAAGAGTAACCCTCATAAAGGCTGAGTCAACAATGATGACTCCTAACCTCCTGATGATGAAATTTCGAGGGAGGCCGCTCCCGTTAAGGAGCCAGCAACTATATTCACATTAATCCATCAACCAAGAAAGGTCGAGGAAGAGCATACCCATATGAAATTGGCAAAGCATTGTGGTACCTCAGCACAACTAACAGATGAATAAGTGTATGCAGCACCACAAATCTAACCTCTATGTGGACCAGAGAAACCCCCTTGAACTGACAACCAATATTGAGGCGATGATATAAGAGCATAAGACCAATGTAACTTATTGTTTTTAACTTGAACTTACCTCAGAGAGTTTTTCACTTTCGCAGTATTACTAAGGTAGCAATTTCACATATACACCTTCAATCGCCCTAGAATCTTCACAAGCGGTTGTCATTATATTTACAAAGAATTTGATCCTTTGCTACACAACATTGTGGGACTAAAAGGCCCCTCAAGTTGGAGAGAAGGACCACTGCATATGAATTGAAACAGGGATCACATGTTGGGGTTCCCTTGTTAACAAGCTCGCGTGAGAAAATGATTTGGGATTAGTTTGGGTTGCATGTAATATATGTGGCTCACATGTATGTATGCCGAGTACACCTTACTTAAGTTATCAAGGGTTGTTTTTTTGTCTTTTTTTGCCAGAATGTAAGGCTTTTAATGGTGCTTTTTGAACTACACCCACTCCCAATATGCAAAGCAAGGTATCATACTGGAGCCATGCTCAATGTGTCGTAGATGTATAACTTTAGGGATGCCAACGCACTAAAATTTATGTTCTCACCTCTTTGGATGCAAGGACTCCCTCCCTATCTTGGGGTGTTGAGACTCCCTCCTAAAATAAACATGAATAATTTATCCTGTAGCATGAGCATTTCTCACCTATGATTAGTCACAAATGATTCCTTAAAGAAAGTTGCCTTAGTTTTTACATTGGCCTCATAGTTGTCTTATATGTTTCTCGGTCATGCCCCACATGCAAAGCATACAAAACAAAATAGCACAAATAAAGCACCTATTAACTTCACCAACCTGGACAAACTTTAATCGTTCTTTTGATATGATGTAATGAGTGTCTTCTTTTTCTAAATCACATTGGAACATATATCTTTTATATATTTTTGCAATTTTAGTACTTTTTCATAACCTTGATACTGACACGTGAATTGGTCCATATCTAAATATCAAATACTTAATAAAATGAAACTCGATAAAAATATATTCTCCTAACCACTATCACCATCAAGAAGATACCCCTCTTGTAGATGATTATTGAAGGGCATACACCTTCTAGATGATTGTTCTAGTCCCTGCTTTCTCTCATTCTGATAATGTTCATTCATAAATGCATGTTTATGCGGGCTTCAAGTATCTACATAGTCAAACATATTATCAGTAACATGCTTTCTTGTCTGTGTTCTTCTTGTGTGTCTTTTGTGTTCAAGAAATATAGGGTCCCCTATATCCCTTGTCTACATCACATATTAAATGAATTCGCCTCATTTCTATCATTAGTCAATTATTTCAAAATTCAACAAGTTTGATATTCATAACACAACAACTGATCATTTGAGTTAAAACATTGTTATTTTGGTAGTGATTACAGTAAGAAGAAACCCTTCTTCATGGTTAGTTCGAATATAAGGAAAACAAGTCCAGCGCTCAGCAGCTGTTAGTTGTCCAGTTAATGCTTGGTTTACTTCCTTAACTCTAGGTCAATATCATACAGACAAAGTTGCTGCATTTTCTCTTCCCTGTTTCCAAAGTATCTCGTTTATTTTAATTTAAGCATTGTGAAACAATCGACACTCTTTAATCTTAAATTCCAATCACCGCAACTTCATACATAAAAAAAAAAAAGCTAAGTTTTGATTGCATGAAAAAAAAAAAGGCTTAGGCAGACAACCAAAAAATGAATCTGTAGGCAGAAGTTTACTTCAAAGTTCATTTCTTACTTGAGAAATGGGATGCACATATACGAGCTGGCCTGTCCGTCCAACCATAACCTAGAAAAAAAAAGCCCATCACAAAGCATGCTCATTTTATGAGTTCACATTTTGATTTGGTAAAACTTAAATACGCATAAAAAAATAATACAGATTTACCGGCTGAGTATTTTGATGCATATAAGCAGTTCCTGTATGAAGAGTAGGATAATATTGCCCAATAAATCTAGCTGGTTGTCGAGCGCCGACTTGTCCAGATATCTATCAACACGTAAGAAGAAAGAAACTAATTTTTTAGAACAGGGAACCTGCTTAACTTTGCATACTTGTATAGGGCTCCTAGCAACAAGCAGAATTTAATAATTTATTCAAACAAATTAAACGTGATCCAGTGTCTATTGAGGTGTAAAGGAACCACATGTACTGCAGCCAGGTTGTGCAAATAAGCTACATACATAACAAATTTGCCTTGGCTAAATAATAACTCACTCAAAATTAATTTGGTTTAAATTTAAAATAGAATCAATATACATATAAGAACACCACATGTTTTCATCTGAGTGTGGGTGTGTGTATATATACATAAACACACACATATGCATGCATTCACATATATAATGTAAGTGAATAAGTTTAAATATAACAAATTATATACATGTTAATATTATATGAAATTAATAATAAAAACAAATATTTATATAGACATAATTAATTAAAAAATTATAAATATTTTCTTTTAATTAAAAAAAATACTGTTCGAATCAATTCAATAACTGCTTGAATTTTAGTCTACCCAAAACACAAATCGATTTGCTTTGGTTTTAGGATGGCGAACGCAAAATTAGTTGGTTTCAAAATGAGATCAAGTATATATATAATTAAAAAATTTGGATTGAATGAGCTTAAAAATTGATTCAAAATAAATCACTTTCAACTTGACACAAAATCAAAATTTCAATTTTAAGTTGAGGGCAACCAACTAAAACTCACTAGGCATCACAATAGTCTAGAGTTTTCCTAATGGATCTATGATGTAATGCACAAAATCATGCAAATATGTTCAAACTCTCAATTCATAAACGTTTAATTTAGAAAATTGACCATTCCTTTAAATGAGAAGTAGAATTATACCAAATTTGCATAGATGATATGATGAGGACATCCATAGGAGATTTCGGCATACTTACCATCGGAGGGGTCCTCGAGCGACGACTATGATTCATAGTCTTTATTTTTGATGTTTTATTTTATTCATGTCATTTATATTTCATGTTTTCCATTTGTACCCCTATGAGGGAGTTAGTGCTTATTGTATCCCAAGGGCAATGTCGCCTTTATGGTTTTTATTTTCGGATGGCCTATATATAGGCCTAGTCTTTGTATTTGAGGATAATTTTTTATGAATGAAAATTTTTCTCATATGTTTTCTTTGTGAGTTCATGAAATCTCTAAGATCTCTTTGTGAGTTCTAGAAGAGGAGATCGTCATAGATCTCTTTGTGAGTTCTACCGGTGGTGTGGTGCAAGGTTAGTAAACCAGACAATTTCAATTTCATCTTAATCCAATTCTTTCTTCCCCCATCCAGCCGACCCCTCTTCCTCCCCAAATTTTTCTTGCCGCCGTCCCTACTGGACCGACCAGACCGCTGGCCCCTGACAGCCACTTCCCGCAGGCCTCCCTCCCCCGTCCCTAGCCCAGCCCCTTGCCTTGGCTGCTGATTTCCCCCCTTCCCCCTCCTTTGAATTTCAAAATTTGAAATTCCAATTTGTTTCATGAGTCCTTGAATGCTTTCAAAATTAGCTCCTTGATTTAAGGCTTCAATATTAATTGGATCTAATTTTGAATGATCAATTCAAATTATTTCTAATTGATAGCCTCAAATTTTGGTAACTTTCCCTCTCATAAAATCCTAGAATTAATTCAGATTTATTCAAATATTAGATTAGTAACATGGGCCCCACTCACTTATGATTTCTAAATCCTTTTACCCTCTCTTGTGGTCGACCATTTATTGAGCTCAATCTCTCTCATATGTTATTAATTGCTACCCAATTAACTCCTTAATTCCTCTTAAACCAGTGGCCCATTATGGGATTAATTTGAATTCTCCAATTAATTTCCCTCCCACTTTGTCTAAGGGAAATTCAAATTGAGATTTCTCATTAGTCTCTCAAATCTCCACCTAATCCACCCGTCCGCTCGCCACGATCTCCCATGATGAATGGCGGATCCCGAGCTTGAGAGTAGATTGGTTTTCGACATCTACGGAGACATTCACCTCACCGTTCTTCGACGTCGGATTTGGCTCCGACGACACGGTTGAAGATTATTTGAACTGCATCCTTCCCACTCTCGTGGACGTCATAGATGACCAATTCCAAGACTACGACTGGACCATCAACGGACATCCACCCGCTTCCCCACCTTCACCACCGCCGCTTCCCTCGCCATCACTACGGATCATCTACGCCGTCTACCTTGGAGTGATCTTGTTTCTCGTACTGTTCTTCTTCCTACGACAATCCTAGAAGTAGAAGAGTGACTTTGAGCCTCATGGTGAGACGATTACTTTGTTAACCGTCGGATTCTAGTTGACTAATCATTTCTTTACGTTTGCTTAAGTTGTTATTTTAAGGAACTTACAAATTTAGTTGTAACGGATTGCCTAATGCATTGTTGACTTCTTAGATATTTCTTGAGTTTTCAATTTTGAGAAGCTTTAAATTTATTTTTATCATTGCTCCAACAAACCTTATTAATTTCTAAAAAAAATAATTCCTGGTTCCACATCATGATAATTTAACAATCGGCTATAAAAATAACATAAAGAAATCCAAAAACAATTAAACCATATGTTTGTTTAAAAATCATGCCACAATTTAAAACCAAATTGTACCAAATTTGACAAAAATTTAATCACACAATCAAATCAATTACTAGAAACTATATAATAACAATAAGATATCACAGAATAAAAGAATTAGATCACGCCAGTAAAGGAATATAAGTTCCAACAAAAAATCTTAAATCTCCAATTGCTTTGGGGGTAGTCTTGAATGAATTGTATCCCGTTAGAATTTTATTTAAAGTAACAATCAAGTAGAATCCAAATAAGTTGATCTTTTTTGCATAACTCGGGTACTTATAGATAATAAAAAATCTTCCTCAATTACAATTAAAAAAACCAAAAATTAGACTCAACAACCCTATCTAAATTAAAAGAACCACATCGATTGAGTTGAATCTTGAAGTTCAAATGAAACAAAAGTCTTCCAACAAACGACTCATAAAGGACCGTGAATAAAAGGAAATTAGGAGTTGTGAAAATAGTTATGCTTTTTTATCTACATCAAGGGGGTAAGATACTTTTTGAGTAGGTGTGGACTCCTTGAGGAAGAAAAAGGGCAAGAAGAGAAATGAAGAAATCATATATCTTATTTTCTAAATTCAATTCCAACCTTTGGGATCTATTTATAATGTTTACATATAAATTGGTTTTGGATTTAATATAAGGTTAGACCAACTGGTTCAATACAAGTAAAATAAAAGAACATGCAATGGGTTTGAGACTGGTTTAATAATGAAATAAATTGAAATAGGAGTTGTTGTAGCCGGCCTGTTGTTGTAGTGCTCTCAATGTTTGAAGATTTGCTTATTTTTCTTTTATGATAGAATTTAAATATTTCATTATCTTGATGCCAATTTTCTAAATTATTCATCCATTATTGATATTGTTGTCGTATTATCCTTGAATCTACAAGGATATATTGTCGCTCAACACTCATATCGCCATGAAACACAATCTTGTCCTCAAAATTGAGGGATGGAAAATAAGTTGAAAGAGCTTTCATAAGTAACCCTGGGTATCAAGTAGTTGCAGGTCCTTCAAGATGAAAGGAAGCTATGCTAACATAATGATAATCAGGACTAAGGAGTGTTGTGAAAAGAGAAGTATTCCTGTGCTTTAAAGGTCCATGCTTTGACGTCGAATCCATTAAAGCGAGTAAATTTAATTTTCGTTGTTTTAACAAAAGAGAAACTTGTAGGAGACTGTGGCAATTGTGGAGAAGGGATTCGATCGGTGAAATCAAGGATGCCAACGGAAGAAGAAGGATCATGATGGAATGGAGTAGGTGGCCAGTCAATGCACAAAGTATCAAGTTTCTTATCAATAGAATGCATGAAAGCATGGGATTGTTGAAGTGATGAGCCAATGGGGGCAAATTGAACATTCACTTGTTGTAGAGATTTTTTGATTTTGGAGAATTGTAATATTTGATTGATTTGCATTGTTCGGAGTGCTTCTGTCAAATTTATATTTTTCATGTTGATAAAAAGAATCGTGTCCTGATAGAATCTTAAAAGATGAAAGAGTACAACAACATCAAACCTCTATCCCACTACGTGGGGTTGGCTACATGAATCCTTTTTCTCCATCGTGTTCAGTTAAGAGTTAAATTCTCATTTAGATCCAATAAATATAGATCATTTCTATATTTTTTAACCAAGTCTTCTTAGGCCTACCTCCACCTTTCTTAACATAGGTTAAATTTAATGCATCCACTCTCCTAACTGGGTCATCAGAAAACCACTGTTTTATGCGACCAAATCATCTAAGGCAACTCTCTCTAATCTTTCTGCCACTGGAGCTACTCCAACCTTTTCACGTATATGCTCATTTTGTATCATGTCTCTAATAGTAAAGTCACTCATCCACCTGTGCATCATCATCTCTATAACACTTAACTTAATATTACGCTTCTATTTTAATGACCAACATTCTGTGCCATAAAACATTACAGGTTTAACCACCGTCTTATAGAATTTTCCCTTAAGTTTGAGTTGTACTTTTCTATCACACAATAAGCCCGATGCATTTCTCCACTTCATCCATCCAACTTGAATTCTACAAAAAATATCCCCATCTTTTTCACCATCACTCTAAACAATAGACCCAAGATATCTAAAACGTGTACTCTTATTAATGACTTGATCACTCAAAGTCACAAACCCCCCACCAGATCTATTACTACTAAAATTACACTCCATTTTAGACTGTTTTTTGGAGGATAATCAAGATCTTGATGCAGAAATGAGTTTCTAAAAGCTGGCTCACGTGATGGCCCGGTGGAGAGAGGAAGAGAATCAAAAGGCTGCAGGCTTTGGCCCAGTTTTAGCACCCTTGCAATGTATTTCAAAGCATGTTGACTGAGATAATGAGCAGTTTATGAAATGTACAAACGACAGATTAGTTCATCCTTATGATATAAAGTATAACCCCACTTATCGAGGGGTAGGATGAAAAGGGACAAAACAATCCAGACAATGCAAACCTTGCAACTCTCTCTCTCTCTCTCTCTCTCTCTCTCTCTTAAAGAGCACTATATTCTTTAATATTCTGAGCATTTAAGAGAATACAAACACAATTATACCATGAAAACAGAATTGATTATTCTTTCTTCCCATATAACACCCTGAGATATGGTAACTCATGCTCACTCATAAGCTTACATTTGCACAAGGTTACATTCCATATAACTTCATAAATATAGCTCGTTTGCAAGCTACACCTTTTTAAATTGCAGTCTTGGCAAGATCACACTGGATGGATAGAATGAGGTTTTGAGAGTTCATTTTAAGTACCAAATCTGAATTAGTAACAAATTTGCAGTCGTTCCGTTTTAACAGTTCTGGACTTTTTTTTAATCCTATTCAACATGCAATTAAATTTTCTTCATTTTTAAGCTTAAATATTATATTTAAATTATTTAAAAAAAAAAACAAATCCTCGCATCATTTAATTATAAATGTTCTGTCATTGTTGAAACCATTCCAACAACATTCTCAGAGGGCGGCAGCATATCAGATTTATGCAAGAGAAAGAGAGGGAACTAGTTATCATTCACAGTAGGAAGTTTTCGGCATGGATGGTACAATGAAGGTTAGAGTGAATTGGATAAGCCTGATGAATTTAAGTTTATATGGTTTTGATTTTAAAATGATGGGTCGTTTTAACAGTTGGAATTTTGTTTAGGTTTGCATTTAAGTGGAAGTTGATTATGTTGAGGTTTGGAAGTTTGTTTAGGTTTTAACTTGATTTATTGATTGTTTAATTTTTTTTTAGGGTATTTGGGTTTGTTGAGAGATGCTTACTTGAATAAATTTTGAAATGGTAGTTGAGAGGATTTTGAACAAGAAGGTCGTTTAGCTTAAGATTTTTTGGGGAGTCTGTAAGAAGAATAGAGAAAGGTTTGACTGCAGGATCACTGACAGCAAACAAAGGAAACCGATGGTGTGAAGCTTCTTGTAGAAAAGCAAAGAACGAGATTCAGAAGAAGTATGTGCTCTCTCACGGCTTCAACATAACTTTACAATTTTTTAATCTATAGCAGCAAACATTGAAATAAGGAAAGCTACTTCGGATGCTAAAACTGAAAATAAATAAATATTCAAATTCTGGAAATAAAGACCAAGTAAATCTCAATACAAGCAAATGGACATACAGAAAAAGGAACCCCAATATAGCACGGATAGAACCATACAATTTAGCATGGATACAATATACATCATGCTTTCCTTGTAACAATATCCTAGAATATTGTATGCAAAAGAAACCGAATAGTTCAGATTTAATCAACATTTCCCAGACTAATTTTGGAGTAGATTCAGAAAACATCCCTAGATTACAATGAAGGACAGATTTCCACATAAGGTCCGAATTTCCATTAATCTCCCTCAAGTTAAATGGTAAATATTCAACATACCTAGCTTGCGATGAACTTGCCAAATCTAACCCTTAGAAAGGCTGTGTTTAGGATATTAATAAGTTGAAGATATGCTTGGGTGTAAAGGCGAGAAATTATCTGATTACTTTTTTATTTTTATGAAGCGTCGATCAATTTCAGCATGCTTAGACCAATCATGATGAATGAGGTCAGCTAAACTAACTGCAGCTTGATTGTACATAGTAAGTTGATAGGTTCAATTCCTAGTGTAGACAATTTGATGAGAAATCTTTTAACAACACTCTTTCATAAAGACAATGTGTCAAATCCTTAAATTCAGCAAACATATCTTTAGTTAGTCACCATGTAAAAATAATATCAATAATATACCCGATTAGAATTGCCAACTTTCCTAAGACCTCTTTGTGAACAAATGTGTGATTGGCTTGACATTGAATATATCCATAATTTTTTAGAACTTTGGAAAATCTTTTAAACCAAGCCCAAGCAGAATATTACACCATACAGAGATTTCGTGAGCTTACAAACTTTGTTGGTGGTAAATTGAGTTCCACCAATTATTGTTTTTTTTAGAGTCTGCATTTGGACAGCAACTTTATATTTAGAACTTATAATAGCTTCATGAATAGATGCTCAGATTTTATTTTAGTTGAGATTGCAAATGTAGGCCTAAAAAATTGGCCAGAGACAAAAATAGGAAACAAATTTGTAGATGGCGTTGGTATAAGTTCTTACCTCTTACCAATGTAGGCAATAGACTGTTGAAGGTTATCAAATGATGATTCGATATGGGGAGATTCAGAATCAAGATTTCTTTGAACTGCTTCTATAGTAACTGGAATTTGCTCGAGCTTTGGCCATGTTCATGGCACGCAACTTATTTGGTATAATGGAGTAAACCATGCTAAAATCACAATGAACATGAAGCTAGGCAATTCCATCAGGAGGTGATAGTGGAAATAGAATGGGGTAATAGAGATGCAGGCAACAATGTTGGCAGAAAAGAGGAAAGAGGTAGTAGATGAATACTACCAAATGAACATTCGGAAGCTAGAGAGGAAAGGAGTACTAAAGAGTGAAGGACGAAGAGGGACTGATGATGAAAAAGGAAATAATGGAGATGAAAATAGAGGCGGCAGTGGTAGTGTATATGGAGGAGTCGGTGAGAGAAGATTGCAAGTCAATTTCTAAATCAAGATGAAGTTAGTCCGTCAGCTAGCCTAAGTTTCAACATTTGAACCATCTTTCCTCTGAATCCAACATCAATTCCATAATTGAAAACTGAACAATTTTATTCTAGATATTCTATGAAAATGAAGTCATAAAATGACATACTAGACAATGAACAACAGTGAAGGATATCTGGAATGTATTATATCAGCAAACTTACGGTTTGTGGATATTGCGTACTGATTCCAGTTTGTACAGCAGCCAAAGGACTATACTGCACAAATTTAGCAGGCAGGGCCGTACACGTTGGAAAAGAATTAATCTCAAGGCTTGACTGTGCAGCTACAACAGGCATTGCAGAAGGGATGCTTGGCTCATAGTTTGTATTCACAATAGTTGAGAAGACCGCGGAGGCTGATCTAGCACTAGCAAAGGATGGCAAAAATAGTTTTGCTTCTGGATTGAGCTTAAATTCCTGCAATACAGGATACACAAAATAAACTGAAAAGAAAACGACCATGAAATCAAACATATATGATCAACAACAAATTTTATGTCAATATTCTACAGAAACATTCCATAAGCATAACTTTGGAAGTTATATCACCTATTTAAGCATCATATCCAAAATATGCATATCAACTCTATATTTATATGGTTGGGAAGGCAACAGGAGAAGATACACCTAAGAAAATAATAAAATAATATGAGATCAGACTCTTAGAAACACATGAGAAAACTTTAATGATACATGTGGATTGTCATATCTAATGTGGCTCCAGGAAGAATTTAGCGTGATGGGCAAGTAAGGTGAGGAGCTATAGAATTTTATTGTTCTATGTGAACATTGGGACTAGCATTATATCCAAAATATGCCTATCAATTCTATATTTATATGATTGGGAAGGCTACAAGAGAGGATGCACCTAAAAAAATAATAAAATAATATGAGATAAGACTCTTAGAAACACATGACAAAACTTTAATGACACATGTCAAGGAAGAATTTAGCGTGCGCCTTAGGCAAATGCCTACGGAGAGCACCAGTAGCAAGTGCATCTGGCTAATAATCCCTCAAGTTGAGACATCAACTAGATGGGTTAGTCTCCAATGTTAAGTTGGAATAGGGTGAGCGCCTCCTGTTGATTGGAAAAATGGTTTTTCAATATAGGTGAGCACCCTCACAAGGCCAAATTCTTTCATCACCCATCCTACCCATCAATGTAAAATTGATGCATGCAAATTTCAGTTTTTTTTTTTTGGTAATTTGAATGTTATAGTTATTTTTTATTTTTTATGCTACCCTATGATAGAAGGCAATCAATGATCATGAATAAGTAGTGCTTTGGGCATGTCATTAAGTGTGCTAGCTACTTTGGTGCCTTGGATCTTGGGCTGATGTTGGCTTCTCGGTTTGGGCTTGGCTGTTCTGTTTTGCTGCTTTGTTGGAGCTGCTATGCTCCAGCTCATTAATGTTGAGTTGTTGCTTCTTTTTCAGCTCATTACTACTTGTAGTTCACCTCCGTTTTAGCTCATTATGTGGAGTGGACTTGGTTCTTTCCCCCTCTCTGTTGGCCTTTCGGTTCTCCCGCTGGCTCCTGTCCCGTGGCTGGCTTTTCCTGTACCCATGGCTGCATTTTCCTATCCCCGTGAAGCCTCTTCAGGTGCTGCTCTTGGAGCGTATGCTGACCTTCTGTTTCCCCTTTCCTGATTGGTTCGGCTGGGGGTATTTTGGGTTGTTTAGCTACCTCTTTTCTCCTATATATATGTGATGTTTTGAGGCATTTGGAGGTTTTTGTTTGCTGAGCAAAGTTCTCTAAAAACATGAGGGTTTCTTCTTAGGAAAACTTGCGAGCTTGTTTCATTTCTCTCCTCCTCTCTTCGATTTCGTCTTGGGCTTTTTATCTCCTTCTTCTCTCCACAAGTTCCACTCCACTTGTATCTTTCTTCTCGAGCTATTGGAGGTGTTGGTTGGCCGGTTTGGTAGCATTTGCCGGAGGAGTTTGTGGTGGACCCTTGGTTTGCATGTCCTTGAGCATATCTTTTATATTACCTATTATTTCGTTGCATGTGAGGTGACCGCTAGTTGGTTGTTTTGAGGGTAGTTGTTTTTATTTTTTAATTTAGTTTTCGTTTGTTTGAAGGTTTGTTTGATGTTTGCATTCTAAGTTTTGAATCGAGAAAAGTTTTGCTAGACCTGGTGTTCTCCTCTTTTGATTTTTTTCTATCTAGTTATCTGCATCAAGTTTGGTATCAGAGCCTAGGTTAGCATATCCTAGGTTGGTGTGTGAGTCTTTTCTTAAAAACAAAAATGGTTAATCAAAATAATCAAGGGGATTGGCAACAAATGAGGCAACAATTAGCGGATTTGCAACATCAAATAAACAACATGGCTAACACTCTTGCAAATTTGAATGTCAACAATCCTAATGTCCAAAATTCTGAAAGTGAAGTGTAAGTCCCTATAAATCAAAATAGACGTCATAGAAATTGGGATCATGGGATAAAAATCGATGTCCATAACTTTGAAGGTAAGCTACAACATGATCAATTCATCGAGTGGGAAGAAAAGATGGACCAATTTTTTGAGTGGAAAGAAATACCTGATAATAGAAAAGTTAAATTTGCTAGCTTAAAACTCACTGGTCTTGCATTAACTTGGTGGAAGAACCTTCAAAATAATAGACTAAGGAGAGGAAAAGAAAAAATTCAAAACTGTGATAGGATAAAAGAAAAAATGATAGGAAAGTTTCTGTCTTCAGACCACTCACGAACTGGTGAGTTATTGGTGGTGCCTCATCTACTCGTCAAACAAGTGGGCCTGCGATCCTCGATGGACTCTAGATAGAAGTGCTTTTTTGTGGTGGTAAGGGAGAATTTAAGGGAAATGTGACCTCTCGAGAATGCACCCTTCGGAACCTCTTGTCATGCCCAGCAATGTGAAGGTGATCTCATTTTGTGGTGATGTCTTTCTGGCGAGAGGTGGTAGAAGATTTAGCCATGCTATTGTACTTCTCAATGTTAACATGACTATTGGCGAATTTTAATAACACTGCCAATACTTTTAGTTGTTGCAAATCGAGTGAATAACTGCATGGTCCTTCCCTCAAACCTGATGTGAAAGCCTTTTGGGGGACCACCAGCTCCAGATCCTTGACCTCCAACACCTCTCTATGGAACCTAATGATGAATCTCCTTATGGACTCACAAGGCTCTTGATATCTTCAAAATAGCCGATGAGTTTTAGATAGGGTTTTGGCCACTCACAAATTATATGATAAACATCCTCTTGAATTTGGTGTAGGATGTAATAATGCCCAATGAGAAGTGCGAGAACTCTTTAAAGGTGGTAAAAAAGCCAAAATTTCAACGCATCATTGATGTTTGGCATTTAAGTGGTTGACTCAAAGTATGCCCGTGATTGGTGGGATCTAGCCTTCTCATACATAATTCCAAGTGGGGCAATTTGAATTTTACTAGTCTTGACTCACTCTAACACCCCACGGATCATCCACATGATCCTTTCCTTCATCTCCATAAATTGACAGTGAGTTTCAAATTCCTAGTTATCCATGTTGACCGATCTCTCCCTATCACATAGCTCTACTTTTCTTACTGCTTGATTTCTGATCAATAACATCGATTCATGCTCATCACAACTGAAAGTATGTTGAATCCAATTTTGTATGTTGGTGACACCGTAACCCTACTCGTAAAATTAGCTTAGAGTAATAGTAAGAGAGAGGAGAGATGAGCAAGTAAGGAAAAAGAGCTACGGAATTTTATTACCCTCCGTAAACACTGACACTAGCATCATGTCTAAAATATGCTTATCAATTCGACATTTATAGGGTTTGAGAGAATACATAAGAAGATACACCTAAGAAAATAATATGTGAACTAACTATTACAAACACATGGGAAGCATTTGATGACAATCGTGGACTGTCATATCTGAGGGGGCTTTGGCGAGTGCATCTAACGAATGCCTATGGTGAGTGGCTCTGGCAAGTGGCTTCGGTGAGTTCCTTTGGCGAATAATGCCTCAGGTTGAGGAGTCGGCTAGGCGGGTGTGATCAAATTGATTGGGCGAATGTCCTTTTGATATGGGTAGGCGCCCTCATTGAGACGAGTTCTTTCAATGTTCCCCCATCCTAGGATGAATGACCAATCAACGCAAAACGTTTATGGGGTGAGTTCACCACTCGGTCAAGCTCCTTTGAAACAAGTTAGCTTGGTCTCTATTCCTTGTGTGAGCTCGCTAGTCTCCCATGACTCATCCAGACGCCAACTCCGCATATAGTGGTGTACAAAAATATTAGAAGTTGTGACAAAAGAGCTAAATGGGATGGAAAATTTTATTGCATGACTTAGAGTTTCTAAATAAAAATTGGCCTTAAGACCCTCAAATAGACTGGATGCACTGAATCAAGAAGGAAATATGATATATATTCGATGCAACCAAACTTCCATGTTGTAACTCTTTACTTCATGTTGTAAGTTTTAAACCCCCCAATTGTGCTAATGATAATCATAACAATGCCAAATAAAAAAATCAAAATATTATTGACAAATGTCGCAAAAAATTACTCCGAAAAATATTGGAAGATTCAATCTCACCTTCGTACAAGTATTGCAAAATGGGCCTCCTTCAGAAGCTGCGAGATAAGGTGACGTTGACATGTTGGAGCAAGTAGAGTTACCATCACATGACACTGAAGAGGACGGTCTGGTAGACAAGGAAACAGGACTGTTGCTTCTTTTGTCTCCACTTATTGATTTATTGGCTGAAATAAAAAAGGATTTCAAAGGATGTGGACAGCAACTACAAAAAAACGATCATATTAAAAGGATTTGAGTATTTGAAAGAGTAAATAAGATTTTACATTGTTAGGCATGTTATAAACAAGCAATGCATGAGAAAACAAGATAGATTCGCATAGGTAAAAAACTATAGTGATTAAACAACGAATGAATCCTAAAAAACTTACAGCAAGAACTAGAATGATCAGCTTCACATACAACCTGCAAAAGCAGGAAGACAGCAAAAAAAATGATGGTCAGCAAAGTGACGGTCAGTAAAAATACTCATGGTTGGTAAAAGATCATGCTTGAAACATCCTACTGTCTTTGTGGAAGAATCCATTTCAATATGGTTGCTAGAATTTGATTCAGCATGCACCTCACTATCTCCAACTTGTCTGCCAGTACAATAATAAGGTATCAATGTATTAAACATAACTGATCAAGAATCAACAATTCATAGCTTAGAACGACCCGAAACAAAGAGCCATCAAAATATACTTTAAACCACCCAGCTTACCCTTCCGGAACTGAAACTTCAGGCCTACAAGATAGCTCTTCAACCTAAAATCACAGAAGAAGAAATTCAAGAATAAATATTTAGAAAAATGAACATTTTTTAATGGAGAAGATTTCTTAATTTCTATTTGAAAACTCTAAAAATGCAGGATTGAAGCTACATCTGAAAAATCTCTAAAGCGTAAACAAGCCATGCAAAGATTATGATTCAAACAAGCTAAGATATTCTATTGGAAAATTTTCAAGCAAAAAGTTTTGACTACCGTACTCCAAAGGAGGATATTCTATATTAAGCAAGCACTGTTGTAAGACTCAAAATAAAATATACGTGTCACACTAAAAATCTGGTTGGATGTAAAATTACAAGTAAAATATCTAGAGAATAAAATACAACCAATTATAATGGCCATTATCAAATCTTTGGTAATGTTTTGTTTTAGTTTTGAGCTGCATCATATGAAATAAAGTCACCATCACCCTCACATGGATGGACAAGCTGTTTTATAAGTGCTTTACACCGTGGTAATGAGGTAATTACAGATGCTCGAATTCAATGGAGGGTCTTCCATTTGCATGCCTTCCATGAAAATGAAAATTGTGGTAAGCAAGATTTTCTAAAAATAAAACTGTACAAAAGCATTACTAAATGAAACTTTAGGGTGAATTAATGAGTTCAACTTCATCATTATTTCCTTTTACACGCAAAAGGTATGAATAACAGCCCACACTGTCAAATGATGTATTATCACCTTTAAAGCACAAACATTAGGGTATATGGGCACAAAGTGACAGATATGGTAGCATGATAAATCTTGTAAAATTCAAAATAAAGTAGTAAAAAAACATCTCTATAGGAAAGTAGAAATATTAAAAAATTAATTTAAAATTTATTATTTTTTTCTATAGAAGGATTATAGGTATATATAGGCTCCTCCAAGGGTACTACATATGAAAAAAAAAATCAATACTAATTACACAAAATAAAATTAAAAAATCCCAAAAATAAGGCCATTAGCAGTTATGTGGAGAGGATCACATGGATTACAATCCAATGGCAACGAGGGAGTAGATTCAATGGCTAAGCTCCTCAATCCGTGTGCTCAAGGATCCATAGTATGATTGGCATTCTAGTGGGACCCACAGATTCTATCCCTCAGGAAAAAATAGTTGTCAACGAGCCGTAAACAAGTGATAAAGGCGGAGGAGTGGGTCCTCATAATTTTCACCACTCTGCTCAAACTGAATGGTATAAATCTATCATTCTAAGTTTACATACAATACTTTTGAACGTGGGTTTTTTAGTCCTTTTATGAATATGTCGACGAGTTTACTCCCTGTTAACACATGTGAAGTGTAGACTAATCAACTTTCTAATTTCTCTTTTATGAAATGTCGATCCACTTCTACATGTTTGATGTAATCATGTTGTATTAGATTATGAGCAATATTGTTGATGATAGATTTATTATCACAATATATCTTTATAGGCTTTTCCCACCTAATTTTAAATCTTCTATGATAAGGTTGATCCACAAGAACACACAAATTCATTGATCAATTGCTCTAAATTTAAATTCAGCACTCAATCTTGAAACAACAAGCTATTTCTTGCTTCTCCATCTTATGAGGTTTCTCCCAAAAACATACAGTATTCTGAAGCACATCTTTTGCCCAATAGTGATTTTTAATAGTCTGCATCAATATACTTTTCAAATTGTAAAGTATCCAATTTTTTTGTAGAAAATTCCTTTTCCAGGACTTGATTTAAGATATTTGATTACTTTATAAGCAACTTAAAGGTAAGACTTCTTGGATTTGTGCATAAATTGATTGACGAGATTTACTATAAATGTGATGTCTTGATGGGAGTGAGATAGATTAATTTTCCAACTAATTATTGTTATTATCTCATGCCTCTTTCTATCCATTCTTCATCTGTGCCTAATCTCTGACCCGATTCAGTTAAGGTTTCACAAGATTTACAATCAATTATTTTTGTTTCTTTCAACAAATCCATAAGATATTTTGTTGAGAGAAATATTTCTTATTCTAATTGAGCGAGTTCTACATCTATGAAATATTTGAGTTTGCACAGCTTCATGATCTCAAAATTTTCAACAATTTTTTTTGTAAGACTCTTTTATTATTATTATCATATGCAATAATTATATCATCAATATATATAACAAGAACTGAAATTTTATCATCTGTGAAGTATTTTATGAAAAGTGCATGGTCTCCTTGGCTTTTGTTTATATCCAACTCAAGTCATGACTTTCGTAAATCTATCAAACTATATTCTTGGGTATAGTTTAAGTCCATATAAAGCTTTTTTTAAATTTGCACACCACAATCTTTGTGAAAGAGCTATCAAATTTAATGATGGATCTATATATACTTCATCTTCAATATCTCCATATAGAAAAACATCATTTGCATCATACTATTGCATAGGCCATCCAAAATTAGCAGCTAGAGAAATCAGAATATGAATAATAAAAAACTTCACTAGCACCTTATAGTTTTCTTCTCTCATGATATCCTTTTAATTCTCACTATCTTGTGTCTCAAATAGGACTTATGGTATTATAATGAAATTGGAATTGCTATTTATAAGGAAGACTATATGTGTGGAGAAATATTTTAAAAGATCTTTATTTGGAGATGGAATACAAAGGAATTGTAATAGATTAATCATTATTACCCGATAACGATTTCAAGCCTTAAGCTTGCTAGGGATTTTGGCTAGGATTATTCCTTCTTATATATCCCTAAAGGGGTATGTGCTTGGATTTATTGGGATTTGTGTCATAGGGATCTCAAGATGAAATATAGAGCATTCATAAAACTTATCTTCAGTTGGAATTCACCCCTTGAAGATGAGTTTGAAACAAAAAATTGCATCTCATCAGAAGTGATTTTGAGGTAAGGAATCTCCTATGATGGGATGACAAAACTTGTACCCTTTTTAGTGGGGGAATATCCAATAAAGACAAGTTTAAGAGTTCTAGGATCTAGTTTACGCATATGTTATTTGTAAATATGGACATAGGCAATGCATCCAAATATTATTGAAAGAATTTTTTACAGGAAGTTATTTGTGTGAAAATTTTTATCAAATAATATAATAGACTTTTAAAGCAAATCACTCTCAAGAGTATTCTATTAATCAGGCTGGTGGCAATTAAACAGTTTGTCCCCAGTACCTTTTTGGTACTTGATGCCAGTAAAAAAGAGTCCCGGTGACTGCTAGTTGGTGTTGTTTTCTTTCTATCACTCCATTTTGTTAGAGGGTTTTAAGACAAGAGCATTGGTAAATGACACCCTCTTTATGAAATAACACAAATAATATGTGATTAAAGTAATCACAAGTATTATCTATCCAAAATATTTTGATGTTGATATTAAATTAATTTTTTATCATGGTAGTAAAAGTGTGACTTGGAGTAGATATAAAAATGGATACATTTAGTGTAATTTTAGAAGTATTAGATCGAGTGGGGGCTTGTGACTTTGGGTAATCAAGTCATTAATAAGAGTACATGTTTTAGATATCTCGAGTCTATTGTTCAAAGTGATAGTGAAATAGATAGTGATATTATTAATAGAATTCAAGTTGGATGGTTGAAGTGAAGTAATGCATCGGGATTGTTGTGTGATAGAAAAATCTCTCAAACTTAAGGGAAAATTCGATAAGATGGTAGTGAGACTTGCAATGCTATATGCTGCAGAATGTTGGCCATTAAAAGAGAAGCATAAAAGTAAGTTAAGTGTTTTAGAGATGAGAATGCTCAGGTGGATGAGTGGCTTCACGCTTAGAGACAGAATACGAAATGACTATATACGTGAAAAGATTGGAATATGATGCAATCAAGAATTATCATCCTATGTTTTGGACTCTATGTTTCTTTTTATTTGTATTACCCAATGATGGAAAACAACTCATGATCATATTTGGGTTTGGTGCTCTTAGATAATTTCTCTGCATTGGCTTTTCACTTATGCTGAATTTGTTTTCTTGCTCCTTGGTGGCTAAATAGGTATTTATTTAATTTTGGGTTGTTTTTCCTTATTGGGCTTGGCCCAATTCTTCCCATGTTGGATGGTTGCTTGGTGTTCCCCATGCTGTCTTGTTTTCCTTGTTGGCTATCTCTATGTTGGTTGTTTTTCCCCATGTTGCTATCTCATTTTCCCTGTTGCTATTTTTTCCTATATTGGTTATTTTTCCCCATGCTGCTAGTTATTCGATTTCCACTTTGTTGTTTTCTTATACTAAGTGCATTAACTCCTCATTAAATGGCTAACTTGAGAGGCTTTTATTGGCTATTTGGGTGGCATAATTAAGTGAGTAATTTATTACCATTTCACCCATTATATTAAATTGTTGTTTTCTTATGCTTTGTTGTTTTCTTATTACCATTTCACCCATTATATATATATATATATATATATATATATGTGTGTGTGTGTGTGTGTGTGTGTGTTGTTTACTGCTGGAAGAGGGGGTTGTTATTGTTGTTGGTGTAATGACACTAAAACCTATGAGTTATTTAGCTTGCGAGCTATCTTCAAAATATTAGGAATGACCTTTCTTTTTTAGATTTAAACGAGAATTTGACTTTTAATAGGACACAATGGAGAAAAAGGATTCATGTAGCCGACCCCACGTAGTGGGATAAAGGCTTGATGTTGTTGTTGTTGTTGTTGTAATCACTGGTTTGATTTTTTTCCTTTGAGCACCCTTCTCTATTTTGGGTTTTGCATGTGAGGTGGCCTTTCTAGGTTGTTCTGAGGGTAGTTAATTTTAAGTTTTAGTTTGCTTCTTTGCAAGATTTCTAAATCATTTACTTATATCCGTTTACTATTAAGTTTCATTCAGTTGGTGTTGGTTTATGTTTTATAGAAAGGAAGTGTCTTGTTGTATTCCTAGTGTTATTCTACTTGTTTTAGAGCCTAGATTGCATCAGAATAGCTCCTGTAGCAGCTAATATTAGAGAGACTCCTTAGATGATTTGGATGTTTGTTCTGTGAGGAATCTGATTGTGTTGATCAATTAGGTTGTATTGTTGTCTCGAACCTCAAGTCAATTTTTCATGCTCTCCCACTACTTAGGCTCGAGTGCAATTTTTTTTCCCGTACAATGCCTCGGCGCCCCGAGGTTATGTACCCGAGCACCCCGGCGTTGTGTACCAATCATCCCAGTGATGTATTCCCAAGTGTCCCAGTGTTGTACTCTGAATCAAAATTTGGAGGAGTGACAAGCGATTGATTGAGAGGAGAGGATAATAATGATTGTATGGAGAGGAAGGAAAAGTTTGGAAAAAATGTGTGAACCAAGTAGCTTCAAGGTGGTGACAGACATCATAGGAAAATATTTGGCATCTAGAAGATAGGGAGGATGAAGATTTTTTTTTAATTGCATCGCATGATAATCTATACTTTTGAATTCATGCAGCTGCAGCTACTTAGCCCTAATAAGAAATGATTGTGGGGGGTTTTCTTCCACCAGCTATGAACTTCCCTCTCAATGGAGAAGCCGACAGTTTTTGTATCTCCTTGCTAAACCTGAAAGATAGAAGAGCAGAGAGGTGGGGTCATACAATTTGCTTGGAAGGGCAATTAACTGCAGGAAGGAGGAGAGATTAGAAAAGAATTAGGTAGATGGAAATCAAAGATTTAGGATTGGAAACTGGAAAGTAGAAGATAGAGAAGATGGTGTTGGTGGATTGGGGGCCGAGAGCCACGTCATCAAAGTATCATTGGTTCTCAATCACCTGAGAAACTACTATGGGACTTTTCTGTATATATATACATATAGTGTTTCAGCCTTCAGATTTTAAGCAAATCACACTCTTACATAACAAAAAGTAAAAAACACTCAAGTCAGCAGCGAACAGAAAATAACAGAATTATCCATAACACAAAAGCTGATGATGATCCTAAAAAAGCTGTGCAGTCGAACAGGTTTAATATATGTTCGGTTAATGGTATCATCAGCCTGACTAACTGTCTCTGCGTCATTTGCAGAAGGTATGATTAAAGTCATGCAATTTGTTAAAAGCAAGACCAAATTTAGTTACAATTTAAATGAAGGTTGTGCTAAGCTTAACATGTCTGTCTGAGAAAGGGCAGGCAATTCATGCCTCTTTAACTTAAAGCTATTTAAGAAAGTTCAAAGATGACTACGTGAACCTATTGGTATGCTTAAATAAAAACAAATAACAAGTCATGTTTAATGAGCCTTTCTCTCCAAAGTTCATCTCAGCCATTGTTGTACCATTATCAATACTAACACATAAAATTAAATACGCAGTACACCATCCAATGGCACATTTTCTAACTTAATTATAGTTAGCATTGAATACAAGTCTTATAATAGCTCTTTAAAGCTATTTTATAATACAGCGCATACCTAGTTTAACTACTATTATGACTAAATCAATTTTATTGGAAGAGGATAACATATCTTAGCTTAAAGTAAAATAACAACTGTCAAAACAATATGTTCCCATAAATTTACATTATTGATGCAGCAAACCTAATTTTCATTTTTCAAAATTTGTTAGCCTATATTAGCAAAAAACACCCGCTACTTAACTTCTTCATGCACGAGCTGATTAATTCTTAGTTAAATATAGCATAGAATAAATACCCATCCAAAAATATAGAAAAGACTTGAACATTCATAAGTTACAAAATAAAAAAAATAAAAAAACTGAAATGAGAATGCAGCTTTTGTTAACTCGAGTATGGACCTTAAGTTTGAAGCGATAGTTGAAGTTGGACTACCAAAAATCAATGGTGTACTCTGAACTATTTTTATAAGTAAGAGTCAACCTTGAAATGACAAACCCACAATCTTCTAATGACATTCAAAAGTAAGTTGGTTACCTCGTCCCTGCATAAGCAACCATCTTTCCCTCCAAGATCATCGTGATGATTATCCAGAGACTTCAGCATTTTTTTCACATTATGCGTCTCATGAATGTCAGCCTCCCCACTAAATTTGATAGATATATTTTCTTTATTGCTGTCAATGTTCCTGAATTTAGACAAAAAGATTAGTAAAGAAGGTCCAGCTATCATCCATATCACAAACATGAATCGAATTTGATCCAAATAAATGCATACTCATATGGTCCCATTCCGGATAAATAGCTTTGATAAACTTATGTTCAAATAATCATAAGCTTATGGACCTTTTGGGAGACCAAACGAACAACATGACTTGGAACATATAAAAAGCATGTTGAATAAGATGATAAATTATTAAATAAAAATGTACCCCATACATACAAAAAGCTACAAGTTATCGATATCGAGCATATTCTTATGCTGCTTAAAATATAAAGGATTTATAATTTACAATATATCATCTTCGAAATGCATCTGTCCTAAACAACCTAGATAATATGAACAAAATACAATATGGGAGCTGCATCTAGCATTTTGGTTGTTCAGAAGAAGATACAAGTCTTCATTCAAGTTAATAATTAAAAAATAATTTGAGGGACAACACGACTTGCCACTATGTCTATAGCAAGATTTCCATTATAGCATATAACAAAAAAAACTTAAGAAGTGAAAACAAAAGATACTTACTTGAGACGAAGACAATAATATTATCCATTAAGATTATGCTAAAAAAAATATTTTTTCCAATTCATAAGGAGCACTGGGAGATTAGAAAGGCTGGCTAGACTGATTTCTCTGTAATTCTGATTCATGAAGTAAATAAATAAAAAAATTCTAATCAAAGCTTACAAACGCTATATTTTATCAGTGAGAAAACCCAAATAGTTCAACTAACATCATAATCCGACATAAATCAACCTTCTAATGTTACTCGTAGCAGTTTGACTCTGAGGATCTTTCAAAGGGCCTTTTATCAAAAGAGTACAACTACATTTCAAACATACATCTCAACTATAATTTGGGCATTCATCTAGAGCTCTATGCAAGTCAATTGCACTCTATACTTTCTTATTTAAAAAAGGACACTTTATTCCAAAACGCTTATCTTTCTACAATAGATACGTAAATTTTGAGAGATCATTCTCTTCACTTGCGTATGCTTTACTCATATAAGTACCACTAGTTCTCATGGTGCTATAAGATGATAGATTATTAAGCAAACAAGTAATCATAAATACAAAAAGATACAAGTTATGGATATCAAGCATATTCTTATGCCAACTTAGAATATAAAGGATTTAATTCCATTATATCACCCCAGGAATGCATCAATCTTAAACAATCAAAATAATATAAACAAAATGCGTCATTGAAGTAGCATGTAGTAATTTTAGCCATTAAGAAGATGATATAAGGTTTCCTTAAAATCCTCTTTGAGGAATATGTTAATAATTAAAACTAATTTAAGGGGCAATATAGATTGACATTAGATATATTATCAGATTTCCATGAGAGCATATAATTGGAAAAAATTTAAGAGTGACAACAAAAGATACATCGTTAAGAAGATGTAACTATTATAAAAAGCTATTTTCCTAAGGATCACAGTGAGATTTAGAAAAGCCACCTGCTAATATTTCTGTAAAATTGCAACATAAAGAAAATAGTAAAGAAAAAGTAAATCAAAGTATATCAAATGCTTACATTTTATCTCAAAAATATTTTATAGGTGAGGAAACAGAAATAGTTCAGCTAATATCACAATCCCACAAAATTCAATCTTCTAATATTACTTGTAAATATTTGACTCTGTAAATCAGATTCCTCCAAACGTCTCTATATCAATGGAGTACAATTTCAATTTGGACATTCATCTAGAGCTCTTTGTAAATCTACTACACTATAACTTCTTATTTGTAAAAAGTGCACTTATTCCAAATCGCTTATTCTATATAAGATATGAATAAATTTTAAGAAATCATTCCCTTCATTTGTGCATGTACGCATGTACAACAACAACAACATCAAGCCTTTATCCCACTTATCCCACTATATAGGGTCGGCTACATGAATCCTTTTTTCTCCATTATGCCTTGTTAAAAGTTAAATTATCATTTAAATCGAATAAGAAAAGGTGGTTTCTAATATTTTGTAACCAAGTCTATTTAGGTCTACCTCTATCTTTCTTAACATTAGTCAAATCTAATACATCCACTTTCTTAACTAGGTCATCAGAAGGTCGCCTTTTATGTGACCAAACCATCTACCCTCTCTAATTTTATCTTCCACTGGAGCTACTCCAACCTTTTCATGTATATGCTCATTTTATATCCTGTCTCTAAGAATAAAGCTCTGATGGACATCTCTACAACACTTAACTTAATATTATGTTTCTCTTTTAATGGCCAACATTCTGCACCATAAAGCATTGCAGTTCTATCCACCGTTTTATAGAATTTTCCCTTAAGTTTAAGGGGGACTTTTCTATCACACAACAAGCCCGATGCATTCCTCCACTTCAACCATCCAACTAGAATTCTAATAATAATATCCCCATCTATTTCACCGTCACTCTAAACAATAGACCCAAGATATCTAAAACGTGTACTCTTTTTAATGACTCAATCACCCAAAGTCACAATCCCTCCACAAGAACTATTACTACTGAAATTATACTGCATATATTCAGTTTTAGATCTACACAAACGAAAGCCTTTAAACTCTAAGGTTGACCTCCATAATTGATGTTTACCTTCAACTCCCTCTCTAGTCTTATCAATAAGAAGAATATCATCAGCAAAAAGTATACACCAAGGTACAACCTCTTGCAATATCTAGTGAGAACATCCATGACTAAAGCAAAAAGATATGGGCTTAAGGCAAATCTTTGATGTAATCCAACTGAAATAGGAAAATACTTGGTCAAACCACCTTGTGTCTGAACACAAGTAACAGCTCCTACATATATATCATTAATGACTTGAATATAAGCATTATTAACCCCCTTTTTTTTCTAGAACTCTCCATGGCACTTCTCTTAGAACTTTATCATATGCTTTTTTCTAAATCAATAAATATCATGTGTAAATCCTCCTTATTCTATAATTCTCCATCAAACCTCTCAATAAATGTATAACTTCCATAGTAGACCTACCCGGCATGAATCCAAATTGATTTTGAGAAACATTAGTATCGCGCCGCAAACTATGCTCCATAACTCCCTCCCATGGTTTTAAAGAATGAAACATTAAATTAATTCCTCTATAATTCACATAATCTTGATCATCACCTTTATTTTTAAACATAGGAGTAAACATACTCATTCTCCATTCATCTGGTATAGTTTTAGTCTTCAAAATAATATTAAAAAGTTTAGTAAGCCAAGAGACTCCATCTCCTAAGCATTTTCTCACCTCTATTAGAATATCATCAGGTCTAACTGGTTTTCCACCCTTCATTTTCTTTAAAGTCTCTCTAACTTTGGTTTTACTAATGCATCGATAAAAATAAAAATCGTTTGATGAGGACATCAGCAGGAGATTCTGGCGCATTTATTAGAGGAGACATCGTAGATCGACGGCTATGATTAGGAGTCTTTAATTGTGATGCATTAATGTATTTTTTTATTTATATTCTAGTTTTTACCATTGTACCCCTGAGAGTGATTAGTTATTGTTGTCGCCCAGAGGGCAATTTAGTCTTTGTGTTTTGTTCCTTGAGGCCTATATATATGAAGGCCCTAACTTTTGTATTGGATGATAATGATTTTGAATGAAAATTTCAGCTCTTATTTCTTTTCTTTGTTGTGAGCTCTTGAGAGAGGAGATAACCCTAAGAGAGGGTCAAGCAATTCCCGTCAGCCGTTGGTAGAGTCCGGGCTCGCGGTTTGCATTTGTTCTTATTCTTTATCCCCCTTTCCTCTTCCCTATAAGACCGGCTATCCAATCAAAATAATATAAACAAAATGCGTCATTGAAGTAGCATGCAGTAATTTTAGCCGTTAAGAAGATGATATAAGGTTTCCTTAAAATCCTCTTTGAGGAATATGTTAATAATTAAAACTAATTTAAGGGGCAATATAGATTGACATTAGATATATTATCAGATTTCCATGAGAGCATATAATTGGAAAAAATTTAAGAGTGACAACAAAAGATACATCGTTAAGAAGATGTAACTATTATAAAAAGCTATTTTCCTAAGGATCACAGTGAGATTTAGAAAAGCCACCTGCTAATATTTCTGTAAAATTGCAACATAAAGAAAATAGTAAAGAAAAAGCAAATCAAAGTATATCAAATGCTTACATTTTATCTCAAAAATATTTTATAGGTGAGGAAACAGAAATAGTTCAGCTAATATCACAATCCCACAAAATTCAATCTTCTAATATTACTTGTAAATATTTGACTCTGTAAATCAGATTCCTCCAAACGTCTCTATATCAATGGAGTACAATTTCAATTTGGACATTCATCTAGAGCTTGATGTGAAACAACATGCGGTGAAACATGAATTGCACGTTAGAGATTAATGAGAGTTTAACTTTGCAATGTTAACGATAAAATCTAGCTTACTCAAGTTGGATTCAAGAAAATTCGTGATAGATTAAGTTAACAGCAGTGATTACATTTAAGAATTACAAGAGTCTTGCAAAAGATAACCAAAATAAACTAGATAATGCAAATAGATACTACTAAAGCCACACGTTTAAAATTTAGATCATTCACCTTGAGGTCCGTCACTCGTTTTGAAAGTGGTGGCTAGCGGAGGAGAATCGTAAGTAGACTTAGCGATGCCACTAGTAGACAAGTGATCCCGCGAGGACTCGTCACCGGGGAAGAAGCCGGATTTGGAGGAGCGGGTGGGCGGCCGTTAATGATCATCTCGCTCGTCATATACGAATCCGAAGTTCCATTCAAGTTCGGGGTCCGCCATGCATCCTCGCCAAAGGTTGAATGAGTACTCAGGATGGGAGAGGGGTGGTCGGTTGGAGAGGCCACGAGGAGAAACAAAGATTACCAAATCTGGAATAATGGCAGATTTTTTTTTTTTTTTTTAAGTTGGGAAGTTGGAGGAGGAGCTTGGTTGGAGACATCAAACCAAGTCTAGAGAGGAGCTCGGGTA